CAGAGAATTTATCATCGTCAATTATTCAAGTCTAAAGATGACGTCATTTTCGCACTTCAGTTGCAAGAGCCATGTAGTTATTTTTGGTATGATGCAAATAATAACAACGCTACGCAGTCATTAATTTTAAGTGCTATAGATTTTCACCTTTCAGTTAAATCAATCTTCAATTTCAGCAATTGAATTGTTTTTTTCCAATCGAAGTTCATGACATTCGACTTGCGTAAGCAACTATTTTTAAGTTGAATTTGATGAGTATTTTATTATTTAATTAAATATCGATGAGCTGTTTTACTTTTGTACTAGTCTGCTGTAGTGTGTATTTTTTCAATTCATATTTAGAAAAATTAAAGACGCCCATAGTCGATGTCTTTTATTTTGATTGTTTCCTTAATGACTGCAAAAGGAAAAGCAATTCAGCTAAGCACATTCTCTTACCATGTCGCACTGAAATTGTTTTTTTTCAAAGCAGTTTGTCAACTTTTTTTGTATACTGTCATATTTTCAAAACTAACTTGGCAGACAACTTTTCCGCCTTCAAAACATTTTTGCAGATAGTTTTCCATCTCCTAAAGCGACTTTTTCATTCTATCCGGCTGCCACGCCTTCCAAAGCAACTTTTCGTATTTTACACACAAATCCTACTCTTGTAAAAACAAGTTTACCAACTTTGCAGACAGGTTTCTTACCATCCAAAGCAACTTTTTTCAGCTTTACAAACGACTTTCCAGCGTTCCGAATTCCAAAGCAACTTTCCAACTTTACAGTTTTCCAATCTCGCAAAAACGATATTCCCAACTTTCTAGAGCCAACTTTACCGCCTGAAAACTATTTTCCTCTTCCAAAATGACCTTCCGTCTTTGCAGACGATTTCTCTCCAGGATTGAAGTCGTACTCAGATTACCAATATATTCACGGTACTCAGAATACCACGTTGTGTAATCCAGTGTTTATTATTATATTCAGGCTAATATGTTGGGCACGTGTTATACAAACCAATATCTGGTATTAACTGGTGCTAAGTATTCATCGAAATACAAGTGCATTTAGTTAAACAATTAGATCCAAGCAAATATTTGTAAGAATACTGTTTGCTTATATTGTTGTAATTGTGTCACTGTTTAGGCCAGACTTTTTTTCCTTGTTTCTCGAGTTGTTTTAAGGCAATTCTTTTGAGGAGAGCGGAAAAAAATTATTTCCTTTTTTTCGTTAGATTTGTGTGATTCTCAAAGAATTGTAAAGTGAGATAATTGATTAGAAGAGAAAAAATGAAATAAAATTTTATTCCATTTATAACTTCGGTACTTTGATCACGATACTCCCACGAAAATGTAACTGCGGCGGGCGGTAAAAAAATGAAGATAAAAATAATATTTTTTTAGCAATTTTTTGCGCTTACAAGTCGGCGGGCGCGAGAAATTATGCTGAAATAAAATTTTAATTTTATTTCATTGTTGGTTCCTGTTCATTCGGCGGGTTCACGAAACGAGGGATAATAAAAGTCTGGCCTCACGCAGCAAAATTGGAATAATACGAGGTAAACATGGAATTGCATATACAATACATGCGAGAAGAGTTGGAGTTGTTGCTCCACACTGCAATAAAATAAATGTGTCCGGTGACGGGAGCAGCTTGTTTTGAGCAATCCATTGTTGTCTCTATGGAAACAGAATTACCTAATTGATATCATACTAGCATCTGTAGAGTATATACTAGAATTGTTTTGAAGATGCAATTAAATTAAATTAAATTACCACAATATGTATACTATGAGGTTATTTCGAGGATATCTTAAAGTATGCACGAAGACAGTACAGTGAAAGTATCGACGCGCAGAGGAGGTCGATGCGACGGCGTACAGTCTGAGTGCATACTTTGAGGTATCCTCGTAATAACCTTATTATTATACAAAAACAAGTTCAGAACAGAATCAGCGAACTTCTTTGTGTGGAGTCCGGTCAAACCCTGGTGGCAGCCATGCTTAAGCGCATTATCATTCCATAATAGACCATTTTCCGTACACTGCGAGAATCACGCGTTATGCGTGAAATCGAACGTAAAAACAGGACAAACAAAGGTCATAGCGTCGTAGTCGCGTCAAACATCGCGTGGGATTCGACAAACGCGAAAGTATTTCGGGGACATTTTCATGCTTAATAATGTGCTGTCCACATTTCGATTAAGTGAGGGTATTCGGAAGCAATATTCCTCTGTCGAAGATCGGCCGGTCAATGTAAGCTGCGAAATAAAGAAATTCTAGTTCAAAATCAAATCGTTCGATTTTTGCGGCAGACGTTCGACGCGCGTCTTTCATGCATCTCGCGAGATCTCGCAAAATCACCTATTGGAATTCGCATGTCTTTATATGGTAGGATGAAAATACCTTGTAAAATACCGCAAAATTACGGCGCGCTATAACTTATGATGGCGTTACGGTGACAGATGTATAATACTCGATAGTAGTACATAGTATACGTGAGTGGACATGATATCATTTTGCTATGAACAGGAATATAAAGACGAATTCACTCAAATATGGCTCATATTTTGGAAAGAAATTCATAAACTACAAAAGTAATTTGGTTAGAATGCTGAAAAATGTGTATATAAGTATATTATTTTGTTGATTCTATTAAAATTGATTTTTATATTAACTCGCATACACAAAACGAATATCATGTCAGTAACACACACACCACTGTGTGGCATGCACTCAGGTTAAGACGCAACGTACTCTATGTAGGACAATCTCATTACACAAGGTGTTCACAATTCAACAGTTCCCATAGTTATCTCATATTACCATCTTTCAAATATACAGCAGGTCTTTCTATTGAAATGATATCAGGTACTCAATCTATGTTACCGATGAGGGCGTGCCAGAGTATTGTCATTAATAACGTGAATAATATTTTTGTTTTGACATTAAATTCGAATATTTCCAAATGTATAGATATTTTTATCCATTTTGCATATTTTTAGATTACAAATACATCTATTTACAAGAAGGAGCAATTTCTTTTACCATATACCACATAGCATTATGGGATTATTTTTTGTGCAAATAAAATATGTTAATTTACTAAACCACATATAAATATGGTTGATGTTAGGAAATTACACTAAACAAAATCTACGTATTTTCATCCATTCGTTTATAACCTTCCCTCTGCCATTCTTTTATATCCCGGCTATCCTATCTCATCGCCTGACTTCTTCAATTCTTTCTTTAGCCATCGTCATAATCATATCGCCGTTCTTTCCTTCTTCTTTGCCATCTCTTCGCCGATATCTCTGCTTTATTGTCTCCTTTTGCGCCACATAATTCTCCATTTTCAACAAACACATACGGTTGATAATTATTACATAGATGCAGGTGGAATGGGGTGTTGTTCTACTTTGTATCGTAAACATTCTACGTACTAGTAGTCTATCTGTTTAAAATCAAATCAACGATTTTGATGTACTTTGAAAATCAAATTTCTATTAACATGGAACTTTTCGCACACTGATACAGTCAGAGCACAGTCTTTGTAATAATAAACACAAATTGAGAATTATAACTGAGGAAAAATCTGTTTTAGTTTATAACACACGATAACAATGGATATGACGTAATTTTCAAAATGTCCAAATAGTTTAAGATTCCGTGAATGACCTGTTTATTGTTATATGTAAACAAAATTATAATACCTGCAAGAACGAGGCGTATGCCTTTCTGAATATATTTATCTTCTTACCATGTTTACCGAATATTCAAAATGTAATATAATAAAACTGCAAATTTAGATAAGTTTTAACAATGTTGATAGTATTGACCTTGAACTTGAAGCAATGTTGAACTTGTCAACTTGGCTGACATACATAAAATAAAGACAGCTGCTGAAAACCCATATTAACAACAATTTTATCTACAAACTGCATTCTCTCTTCTGAAGTCATTTTGAAAATAACAGTTTCCCCTCCGACTTTGAATGATGGCGTCTGTCAAATGGAGTATTACGTTATTGCTTACACGTATAATACATATTGTCATAGCGGATTGTCATTGGTGGTGGTGTCCCGAGGATCCAGAAGGGAAGGTCGGTCCCCTATGTAAGTGTTTTACCGAAGTGGTTATTTGATATCATCATACTAGCATTTAACGCTGTTTTCTGTTATCGGCAAGTATTCGCATATTATTCCATGATTATAGTACATTGATACAGTATAGGCCTATAGCGGGTAGCATAAACGTTATGATCGGAACTGTGATACCGACTGAGTACCGATACTACCAGTGAATGTCACACCCGTGTACATTGGGTGAATAAACGAGACCTTGTAAAAATCTAAGTTAAGGTAGAAATGCAGTTTACCTGACAGGTATTTTAATTAGTTAATTAGGAAACAAGGATGACCTCTCATGTCCACAAAACTATATATTTTCGGAAAGCTTACTGTAAGAATTTTAAAATTTTGTTAGTATTTTTTTGTTATGGACACTGTAGTTTGAAATATGCACAAACATGTGCTTTTTTCGTCAAAAATGATTTAAAAAAATAGCTTCTAAACTATGCTTCTGTTGCCTGTCAAAATTGGTTTACAGGTACATCTGTTTACTATGAAAAATATGTCGGCATTGTTAACTTACTCTGCATGTTTGCATGAATTTTAAATAACTAATAAATCGTACAGTCAAGTATGAAATAATAACATCTTAAGATACTTGTGAAACCTGTGAAAATATCTGCTACATGCTTTAATAGACTATCCATTGTTTTCTCGTTGAAAGTGGGATACGGTGCTGATCCTGACATGGTTTCCGTCAGTGGTGTGTCTGCTGGGGCTTACATGTCCATACAAATGCACGTAGCATACTCTGCTAGCATCATGGGATCCGGAAACGTGGCTGGAGGTTGGAATACGTCACTTCCTTATCCACACTGTGTTGTTTATTTTGGTAAAATGTGTAAATCTTTGGAAACAAATTTATAACAGAACGTGTCTCTCGCTAAATA